CGCTAAAGTTAGCAAATAAGATAAAATCATTTTTTATAGCCTTATTCTGGCAAGCCCCATAAATAAACAACAAAATGGGACCAACCGGATAACAACGTCCCACATTTATCTTCTTCTGAGTCATATTCTCATAATTGAGAGGTCGTGATTCCATGTTTATGAGTATTTTTTTACTTTATTCCTCCATAACTAAGTGTTTGTTGTCTCTTTTATCTGGTGCAGCCACCTACTTGGTGATCTTCCCTTTGGTTTTCTATCTTCTACTTTTTCCTAGATTATTCATTTTTCCAGGTTATCCATCTTTTCTGATAATAATATGCCCAAAATATTTTAAAAATCGATGCTGGGAAATAGTGAACAGTCTGTCTATGATCTCGATCTCTTGAAGTATAACGTTGGTGCGTCTGTTTATCCAAAGAATGCGTAACATTTAACGTCAGCACCACATCTCAACAACTTAAATCGTTTTGCTATTGGCTCCTTCGATACTCCAGGATTCTATACCGTATAGAAAGATTGCGAATAACAATAATAAGCGTTCTAGCTAGTTTGACTTTTGTCCATTTTGTGATTTGTTGCTCTTTCCATATCTTCTTCTAATTTCTTTTTCACATTTTCCCTGATCCCACATTTATTATTAATGTCAAATATACAGAGTCTGGAAACATCTAATTTTCACACAAATGAGTAGAATTATACAATATTTAGGATAGCTCTATTTCAGACGTAATACTTGCAATGTTGGTAGATTTACTATTTTTTTGCAACACCCTGTATGCTCCGTGGGTAATTTGATATTCCTCCATGATTCTCCTGAAACTCTTCCAGGTTTAGTTTTATAATCTAAGCTTTTCAACCATTGTCCTCTACCAACCCATTATCCAAATTTACGCCAAAATGAGTTAGAACGTTCTGTTGTTGAAACCGTATCTGATTCAAATTGGATTTAAATAGGGTTCTCAGGGAAAATTCACTATTTAATTTCTAGATTGCATTTTATAGTTAGTAGCTGATGAATTCTGGTTGAACTCAAAATGTTTTAGTTTCTTGCACCATCGTCTTATAAATAGGAGAATGATTTGGGTATGTATCGTTGAACAACTTTGCCACAGTACATATTAGGGCTGATCAAAAGAGCAGTTATTCGTTCTCTTTCATTAAAAACCAACATAGAGGAACGATATAATCTGCAGAACTCTTCAAAACACATCAAACTGTCCACAGTTTAATTAATAATGTATTAATATCAAAATCTCAGCATGCTAAAGTTAATTACTTCATATTTAATTTATTACATTTTTCTTGTCCATTTGACGTTTTGTCTAAGTTTTAAAGAAAACGACGATTTATGTGTTATTTATTGTCGCGAATTGTATCTAATTAAACTGTATTCATTTAATTAATTCCTTACATTAACATACAACGTAGGTTTAGTAAGTACCATTCTCGCTAATGTTGATAAAGTATAATTTGCCAGCCAGTATTAACATAATCATCGTAATTTCTAACTGTGCCGACAACAACCAGAGCCGGGGATTTATGTTTCACCATCTCCACTGTTGGCCTCGGCTTACCACAGCTGTGATATGAACTTATGTTTGCCAATAATTCAAAATACCTATTCAATAATACTGTATTAAACGGATACTTATAATCCATTAGGCTGCCATGTACAATGTAAATTTACTCATATTACTTATTTAAATTCATTACTTATTTACCCGTTTATGTATTGTGTCGACTTGTTTTTTTTTTCATCGTTGTTTTTCTTACCATTCTTAGAAAATTGCAATTAATTATTCATAATGGTTGGGGTTTCAATTAGCATTATAGACCTCCGCGAACTACGTTAACATTTAAGCATTAATCTCTCAATGTTTACATTGTTTTGTACCCTTAAATTTTAACCGATAACTATAGCTTTTATTGATTCAACTTTTTATCTATGTAAATATACGATAAACTTTTTATTTCCATAATTGAAATGTAAAGTGATGGGTGTTTATGCTTTTCGCACGTTTTTGTTACATGTTACATGTTATATTCATTACCGTAGATTAAATTAAATTTAAACCGCGTATTGCATGTGGGCATGCGACCATGAATTTTACCAGATAACGTCCTAGCCTGTAGTCTTTAAAAATAGTGGAGACCGTAATAATTAGTGCATGGTAGTTAACACGTTACTCGAAGCGCGAAATTGAATTATCTTACGAGGTTTAATTTTACACTATAACTTCTTATCTAAGAATAGTTATAAGCTTTCTATGAAATCGTTTTATTAAAAAAAATATTTTTAAAAATCATCTATTGTAAAATCTTGATATAACGGATTAATACATTATCTTCGTTATAGAAAAGAGTCCGTTATATGAAAAATTTTGAATTTACACAAACTATTTGAATGAATAATTTTAATGCACACCAATTCGAACTAAATTTGAAGCTATCCACACCGTTGTTCTGTATTAGTTAGTTTTACTTTTAGTTCAATAAAAATATACAACAATCTATCACTGAATAATAATAAACTAACACTAGACCTAGAACTAGAAAGTTTCGGGTTTAGCCGTGCATCTTCTGACGCACGGCTAAGTGGAATGGTGTTCGTTGAAATATAATAGTAATAATATATATCTTTATTGCCCAAAAAAGTACCAATTACAGGACAATATTATACTATACAGAAATGCAAACTTACATTAACACAAGAATCAATTAAACACGAAGCAAAAAAATTGTAATCGTCTGTTAGGTTTACAAGCTTGCACATTCTCTGTAGAGGAGCGCTTTCTTGCCCGTTGGTTCTACTATTCTTCAAATAGAAGCTGTACCAGGTAGCGTGGCTGGGTACACTGAAGTTGATGCAAGAGAGTATAACCAGTTACAATCCGTCTCACCACTCACTAGCTTTTCAGTGTCAAGCAAGGAAAAATGTGACGTTGCAACAAAGATTGGTAGTCAGTGTTAGGAACAGGATAAGCTCCTAAACCTTTTTTGAATTATCTCCAATAGAAGACAATGCGAGATATAATGCAGTGACCATATAACAGAACCATACTCCAGTCTCGGTAGAACAAATAAACGTGAAGTACGGAGCACAAAGCCAAGCATCCTCGCAGCACAAGAAGTGCTCCTCTATGTGCGGTATAAACGATAGTCTGCTATCAAAAGTTACTTCCAGATCGCTGACAGAAGTCAACTTAAGCAGGGAGATTCCACCTATACAGTAGGATGAAAGGATAGGAGTAGTTCTACATGTAAAAGTGATGGCATTACACTTCTCCTCATTAATGCTGGGGATTCAATCTGCAATTATTTTCTCTTTTGAACTGTGTCGTAATGTTTTTCCCAACCTTGAATTGTACATAATTTTTTGATATCCATGCAGAAGTAAGTGAGCTTAATGCAATTATAATGCACCTGATATACATGTTTATGAAACATAGCTACTAAAAATATGAATGGTATAGATATTATCTTCGGGAAACATTATTGATCTTTTATGGGTAAATCGAAGTCAATTTTTCATTTCTTCTATAATAAAGTGCATAATGCAAGACGAGTCGTGCAGAATAGATGTTGAGCGAAATTAATCACAAATAAGAAAAATTATCAATACAGGATAACCACCAAGGTGGCAGAATAACAGGTACTGACGGCAGAACTTGAAGAATGCGAGGATTTTCATATCTATTTGGTATTACAACACTGGTATATATATAAAATCGTCAATCTTGAAGTAAACTAACACTTGAAGTAACTAAAAGTTTCTAATTCTAGGTCTAGTGTTAGTTCTACTTTATTTCTGTATAGAATTTGTAACTTCTTCGATTGGGCTGATGACCAACTAGCGACGATTTCCAATTCCCCTAATTTATTGGTTGTTGTCCTAGTTGTACTTGTTCGGGGTTTGTGGTGCAGCATTTGCATTCTAAAGTATATGTTAGTTTGTTAGTTTGTAATACTAAAGTAGACGAACTTCTTACGTCATTAGCGGACGGTTGTCTTTTATAGCAGTTTACCTAGAGAATATTTCCTGTATAATTAACGATATTAATTTTGCTAACGATATTTTAAAACAAAATTATGAATAATTTAGGGGAATTGATTTTTAAGTATGATGCTGCCGTTAAGCGAGTAAAACATTTGTACAATTTCATTTCTAATCTTAGAAAACAGTTAATTATACGAAGTTCGCTCGGTTCAGTATCTTTCTGCTATGCGGTGATACGCTGAGGAAGTATGCAGTATACATTAACCTGTTACGCTTTGGCAAACAACCAGTTTTCATCCGGTGGCGTGGCGACCTGAACAACGTGTCGTACCTGCGTCCCGCTCATTATTACTAATTAACGATACTATAAAATCAAGCTCGACACTCGTGTGGAGCGCCCTGGAGCGGTCACAATATTCCCCCTATCTCACTCGCTCTAACAAGCTGAAACGGAATAGAGCTTTCAGAGCTCGAAGCGCCGCGTTGCCTCTTCTAAGCTACTCTGTTTACCTAAAGGATAACATTCCTTAGCTTCTCCCGGCTAATATTTGATTTGAAATTATACACTCAGCGAGGTGCTGAAAGCCGATCCGAGACGAGATGTCGACGTAGGGGAGGAAACCTCGTCGCTCTGAAACTCGTCTTTCCTGGTTACCTGAAAGCTTTAGCCATAATCTCGAAACCTCTCCGCAGCTGGTTACTTTCAAGGTTACTTTCGTCGAATCGTTTTTCACCCGAGTAAACACTCTCAACGTTACATGTTAGTCGCGCTATAAACCTAAAAAATAAAACACGGTTCTTAAACTTTATTTAATGTTTAATCAACACAATAATCTTGATAATTATTTATATTATTTTATTTTGTTTTTTAATGATCAAATATATTAATCGTAAGGGTAAAGAGAAATCTCAAATACTCCCTTTATATTACCCTGCTTTGAGTTAAAATGCCGTTAAAAGCCCAATGCAAAGACTAAAATCGGCCATCTCGTTACTGTTACAGATGGCGAGCCCATCAAGCTCCCAGAGAACTTGGAAAGCCTTCCAAGGGCGGATCACTTCCCAACGCAGAGGCACAGGTGGAACACAAACGAGGTAAGGGGATTGCCATCGTTTATTCGATTACTGAATCCATTCAGGCACATCAAACTCACGTTTTCGACGCTCTACATCTTTAAGCCTCGTCAGATCGTAAATTTGCACCTCCCTTTTTGAGAGGAGACTTTAGGGGGAAATGTGGCGTAAAGAAAAGAAATAAATTATTTTTTATTGGTTTCATTTTGTCTTTACAGTTGTTACAAATTCTTTCGTTTATTAGCTTTCAATATCACTTTGTGGGTTTTTGATTAAATTGTATTCCCGGCGCATCCACCATTTTTTATATAATCACTGTTACTATAAATTTAATAAAGAGCATGTAAAGCTTGTTGTGTATCATAACAATAAATCGGTTCGACGTTTGTTTTCTACTTCACTCGGGAACCAGCTAAACCAATGATTTCAATTTTAACAATGCGTTTTCATTGTATTGTGCTCCCGAATTTATTTTAACCGGTATTCATTCGATATATATGCGCAGAGTGGTCAATTTGCGCGAAGTTTATTTTGAATTTTATTGAAATAACGGTCTTGTTGATGCAAACCTCGCCTCGTATACCAACTACAAAAACTTTCATTTACGTTATGGGCTAACGAGTACCTTTGTTTGTCAATACGTTTAACTCATAAACACGTTTAAATATTAATGAAAAATCGCTAATTTGTTGCTACAAAAATGTAATAAATTAAATAATTATTTTAAATTGTTTGTCAAATAAACTGGTTAATTTTTTTTTGGATTAAAGAGTTTGTGTGCTCAGCAAATTTGTTAGAAACACCCGTATAATGTCTCTTGGTGGTCGGACCATTGCAGCTGTTTTTGTTGCCTACACAAACACGGTAAACGAGGTCTTGTGTCAGCATGGTATGGGGGGTGCCGAACGACCATGACAACAGGGATGATATCCCATCGCGGAGGTTATCAAGGTTACCGCAAACAATAAACGAGCCCTGAGGGACTCGAACGGGACATTCAATTGGAGAAAGAATAGGGAGTTTGTTCCAAAAGAGTCGACAACGATGATGTCGAAAGAGAGTGGTATACAAAAAGTTTTTTTTTATTAAATTAATTTTGGTTTTCCTATTCACGTTTCTTTGGGTAAAATTATTATTGAAAAAGTTACTTTATTATAAAAAGCTACTAAAACTTTCTGAATTTACAAAGAATTTGCTTTTATAATCTCAACCCTATTCTATATAACGCACGCAAATTTTGTAGTAATTTATAGTAGTTAACAACGATTTATTAGATTAGTTTAAAAGTGATGAGATATAACTTCGCGCAATGCAATAAATGCACTTAATAAAGATAAACTAAAAATAAATCGTGAAAGCACTCCATCAAAGGTAGTTGTTCGAAAGTTTTCCACACTGTCGACTCAAATTTCAATAGTTTACAGCCATTTGTCACTCGCCATAATTCATCATAAAATAGTGGTGCTTAAAACGGCGCTCAGTTTTGAAATTTACGATCGGAGAATAAGCGGAATAAACCATCCCACATTCCTTTAATTCTTTATCCAACGGCGACCCAGCCGCGGTCAATTACTCAAAGTCAACCCCTAATATTCTATTAAGTTTGCACGCCCACCTCCTCGGTACTTTCGAGTATTTCGTTCTCAGTTCAAGTTCTTCGTCGTCGACTCTTCGGTCAAATAAATCTGACATTTTACGGTTAGCATATAAATCTCGTTGACGCTCGCGCGCCCTGCTTTACATATTTTTAATTGGACCGTATTTATTTAATAACGTCTCGCCGCCGTTCCGGTATGCAAAAACCTCGCGGCCTTATTTAGATTTATTTAGATAGCGACCTCTTTCCCTTCTCTTTAAGGTTCGCATACATATCGTTTTCTTTCTGTGTTTAGTTTAGTTTCTACTAATTACTTGTACACGTTTTCTCCACAAAAAGAACGTTGCTTTAGCTGCCTTCTTTTTGAACTTGTCCCACTCAAACGCACATTATATATCTCCACGAGACCACGTTGAACGGGAAGTGCGTGTAGAAATTATATTATGACTCGGTACATATGTTGACGTTAAAGAGATGTCGAGGGATTTAATGGATGACGTGCCAGTAAAATATATATGAGGAAGGGGTAGTTGTTATCAGCTCGTTTACATCTCACCCTCGGTTAGATTATTACTTGACCCCTTCCAGATTTACGAGTTTGAAATATGATGGAAAAAAATTCTTTGAGTTAACTGAAATTCTTTAGATTTTAGATTGTTGATTATTTTACACTTCAAATATAAAAATAATTAAGGACATGGAAAATAAACAAATAAATATTCATTAATAAAAAATATTTTATACAAAAGGTAATAAATAAAAATGAGGTTGACATTTGATAAAAGTATTACGATATTAATTTAATTTAAGTTTACTCTGCACTAAGTAAGACTTTTAAAGTGAGACCTTATCATCTATAGCAACTTGATACAACGATCTTACTACTAAATATGGCGTATATCACAGTTTTTTGCCGAAGCTTGTACATTGGTTAGTGATTTTTCAAATCTTCAAAGAATCCGCTGATATTCTTGATCATCTCGACAATATATTGATAAATTTTGTTAATATTTGTAGTAAAATTATTTGAAGTTGGATAATTATGTTACCTTTTTGAAATATTGTTGTCTTGCTTCATTTAAAGACACACCATTTGATTTTTTTTGATTATTTAGAATCAATCTCAACTTTATTTTTGGTAGTTGTGCCTAACATAACAATCATACTATAGGTCGCTTTTGTATAAGTGATACATTTTAACGTACACTTTTTTCGTCTCCCAAAATGTTGTCAACAATTTGTCTTCTTCTTCTCAGCTAAGCAAGCTTGTTATTTGAATTTGGTGATTTTTTTTCTATTTCACCTGTAATAATAAGAACGATGAAACCAATATTTTTTTCTGAGTTGAATCAATTCTGCTACTTTTGGCAGAATTTGGTATAGTTGTAAGGTGATAATTTGCTCGGAAAATCAAGTTTCTAGAGACACTCGCACATTGTGTTACGGAGATGTTTTATACTTTGCATGGATCGGTGTGGAATGATGGAATATCCATACACAACGTATGTTCGTAATTCCCAGTACAATGTATATCATTACAGCACATGTTCTGTTATGTCCCATTTATCTGTGTTTAATGATAATGAACTTTTTGACCAAAATACATATATGGGAATTATTGTCCATCCAAGGTTAAAAGAGGAGATTTCTTCTTCTATCCTGTAGTGATAATGTTTCTTAGCCCGAGTTCCACTGAACCACAGGTTTGCACAAAGAGGAGTTTGGGATTCCTCCGCAAATAGAAATGAAACTCACTCTGTCAAAAATTGTGTCAAGTAGTTTAGCAATTATTCGTAGTACTGCACAAGTCTAATTTGTTCGTCTTCTATAAATATACGTAGAATCGACTTTTCGCTTGAAATTGGCACATGGAAATATAGAGTTAGTCTTACTAGCTAAGATTAAAGATAAAGAACTTAGGTTCATATACATGCGTGTTCACCTTCTTGAAGCTTTTACATCACCCACCATATGACATTGAAGCAGAAAATTGCATTATAGCTATCACGATGGTACTTTATGTGGCTATTAAAAGAGAGGTGACACGCATTCTGATGGACTTAAGACTCCTGTAGAAATACTTCCTGTATTATAAGAGCTCCAAAGTAGAATGTTTCGGAGTTTGGGGGTATCATGTCCCCTTAATTATGGGATGTAGGATTAAACGCATAAACATATTCAATTGTAACAAAAAACTAGGCACAATGTGGCAACGTTCCAGGAATCGTCTACGGTATGAAGTATGGCATTCATAAGCCTGGATGATAAAAATAGCTCCCATTAAAACAGTGTTGGATCAGGGAGTTCTTAAAAAAAATAAGTGCTTTAAGAAGTTGAAAACACAATATGCCAACAAGTTTTGTGTTTTGAGTTCTAAATTCTGATATCTTCTTAATAACATTCAACGACAAATCTTAGACCACTGTTGTTGCATACATGATTCCTATTCCCAGCTTGATTTTGGTTATATTCGATCTCTACAAGCTGTACTAACACTAACATATTTTAACAACGATTGTTGGCGAGAAGTGTATAATGACCATACCAATTTCTTTATGGCCTTATTCATGCTCTGGTTAATTTGTAAATTGGTGCCGTATTTAAACAATATCGACAATCTGTACGTAATCCTAACAACGCACTGACGTCATAAATAGCAAATATCGTACACCACGCCTACATAGAACAAATACGATAAGCAAACTTGTGCCTTGGATTACATAGAGGAAGGGTACTCACCCGTTATAGCATAACTCGAGAATGGGACTCCCCGAATACGCGTGCCCATTGTGCGCTGGATTTAATTAGTCCATAATTAAATGCAATTGTATGCGCGCTGAGGACTGACCACTTACCTCTCTCTGGTGTACCCGTATGAGCAGCCGCTTGAATCTATTAGTGTTGTGTAACTGTTAGTGTAATTTCGTTGGCCAAATGAATTAACTACGTGCCTGCTCGCGTGGTTATTTGCTTCGCGTGTTTCAGTTTCAATAGGAAGTACATACTAACCTGTCGCTTAATAATTTTTATTAAAATTTTTCACACCAAAACATTCTTTTTAAATCAAAGTTGATCTGTACATATATTAAGTAGCCTAATATCAACGAATCTACCACTAAAATAAAATGTTTTCAAATTGTTTTATAATAATTAGTTCTAAAAGTATGGATCCCACTTTTCAAACAAAATTATGAACAAGAATATCAAAGTTAAATAAGTATGATACATTGCAAGACTAGTTAACGTCATGTAGATTCTGAAAATTCAAACAGTTTGAAAGTTTGTTGCATGGAGGCACAGCGGTAATATAAGTTACCCTCGACGGGTATGTTATCGTAATAATCTTAATTCCGATTTCGTGCCACGGCGTGGCCGTATACCGTGGCCAACACAGTGGTTATATAAGTCACCAGTAAACGCCACG